GTGACCGTAGATTTCGGAAATATTTCCAAGTCCAATAACAATATAATTTACACTAAAGGTACAATAAAATATGAAAATGTTTATGCCATAAAGTCCCTGTGTCGGCATATTACAAATAAGGTTCCTTAACAGAAGTTTTAAATAGGTTTATTTTATAAAAATTGGTTTAGTTATTGATTTTACTATTCACAACTCAGCCGGACTACATCTTAAAGGGTTAAACTATTTAAATTCAAACTTATTTTTAAGTACTATTTGTTACAAAAAAAGATATCATGCCCACGCATTTAGTACAATACTATTCACCTCGCATATGTTCTGTAGGCGATATTACTAACATACTTAACACCAGTACAATCCACGATTACGATTATAGGTCACCGTAAAATCGGCACCGGAACGAACTACTAAATGTACTGCACGCCAGCACAACGCTGACTAATGGACATGATCCTAAACAATCAAACAAAAATATTCTCAGGTGATGAACGTTATTTGTGTAGAAATACATTAGAAATCGTCATTGATGGTGAATTCACTAATGTTTGACAGTCTGCTGCTATTAAAAAAATTTTCTGACTACAATTTACTGGATAGATTATAATTAGCTTTTGTAAAATTGCTAAGCGTACTTGACCAATGAAGTAAATTTGTTAAATTAGAAACTATTTAGAAATTATACAAAAATTTCAACCTTTAATAGCCGAATTGATTACAAATTAAATTTAGTAGGTTGTAATTTTCTAATAGTTTGTTTATAACAGGTAAATATACAATTTTTTTAACAGTGTATTAAATTATTCGGTCGTGATTTTGCTACTATTGCTTCGTGGGCATCCAAGCGTAGGCGTCTTTTTGGGAGAAGATCCCTGAAAAAACAATAAAACGATAATAAATCCAGTAAGCATCATAAAATACATTCTGTCATGCATAATTAAGAAAAAAATAAATTATATTATTTACAATCGTTTAAATATGACAATGATTTTGATCACGTTACGTATTTTGTAGACCAATCATAATCAAATTAATTAAATAAAGTATTTAATTTTACACATCTTACCCTTCGTTTCTGAATGAGTCGATACTGGATAAAACTACTCTAATGTCATTAGAGAGAGACGTAAACGAAGATAGTGACACTGTTGAAGAATAATTTCCCTTGTTAAATAGAAAGACGTATGTGTCGTTACCAGCCAATTCTCTCGTAAATGCAAAAACGTAAGTGTCTAAAGCCTCTATGTTCAAATTTCCAAAAATGATAGTGTTTTCTTGCCTCAATTTCATTAGACTTTGGTAGATATGATAGTGACTTTTTACTCCATCTCTGCTTTGTAGTTCAAGATTGTTTGTTATATATTTTGCACTGACAGGCAACCAAGTACTATTCGCTGTGCTAAATCCTGCATTGACACTAGAGTCCCAATGGAATGGAGTCCTCTCAAAATCCCTGCTTTGAGTCAGGAAATTTTCTCTGGGTCTGTTGCACGCAGTTGGATCTTGTCCTTGCTCCCATGTTACTTCTCCATTTTCCATTCCAATCTCTTCTCCGTTATAAGTGTCTGCTATACCTGGCAGAAGACACACCAACATATTGTATCCATCTACATTTTCAACCCCTTGACGGGTGGCAACTCTAGATCTATCGTGATTTCCTAACTAGAACGCAATGCACACAATGTCATGTCTAATAAATGAAGTAAAAAGGAAGCAAATTAATGATTGGTTTTTTGACTCCCAAAATCCGGGAAATTATTTTTGAGCTCATTGGGACAACAAAGCAATCGATTTAGCCAAAATAAATCAAATGGAGTTCATTGACATCTAACAATAATAATAATAATAATAATAATAATAATAAAACATTAAATCCAAAATTTTACAAATGTTTAAAAATCCTAAAATGCGTTTTTTGAGTGTTGAAAAGCGCGTTAGGTTTTTGATTGTTTTTATGTGAAATCTTGGATTTTAGTGTCCCTAGACAAAAATTTTCAGTTTCTCTCCGGTCTCTCAAGAGTCTTTCAGAGTCTTTCAGCTTCTCAGAGAGCGTCTGTCACAGTCTTTCACAGTCTCTCAGTTATGCCTAGGTGTTTTTATGGATCTCTCACAGTCTCCATATGAGAGACTCGAACGGTAAAATTGTTAATTCAGAGATTCGAGTCTCTCACAGAGAGACTGAATGACTTAAACTGAAAAATTTAGAGACTCGGGTCTCTCGTACAAAGACTGGGATCTCTGAAATATGTTGAACTTTCAACCATGTCTATCGAGGCACCACTTATTGAGAGATTCGAGTCTCTCGTTCAGAGATTCCAGTCTCGTTTAGAGACTGGATACGAAATGAGGATCTCTCTATGAGCGACTCGAATCTCTCGTTCAGAGACTGGATACGAAATGAGGATCTCTCTATGAGCGACTCGAATCACTCGTTCAGAGACTGGATACGAAATGAGGATCTCTCTATGAGCGACTCGAATCTCTCGTTCAGAGACTGGATACGAAATGAGGATCTCTCTATGAGCGACTCGAATCTCTCGTTCAGAGACGGTAAACAGTTTTTTTGACAGTCTCTCGACAGTCTATCTCAGCGACACCGGAGAGACTCGATGAGAGACGGAGACTCGGGTCTCGCTTGCAGAGACTGAACATTTTTATCTCGGGGTTTTGATCATTAAATCGAATATAAGATTCAAAAAAACAGACAAGAGGCTTAAATAAGAAATCTTGATTATAATTCTTACCACCCAATTAGCTATGTATCTGCTTGGCATAAATTGAAACCATCTTTTAATTACTGAAATATCCTGACTAGCAGTACTGTTGGATGTAGTATTGGTTATAAGAAAGAAATTGAATGTAAAATGAGCTCCATCAACTGTGCCATTACCATAATAGAACATGGTGGCATTTACATTTGTAAATGCCTCGGTCATGAGCACCCTATCGAAACAAAGTATTTCAATTACACAAATTTACTGTAAGTGGAAAGATATCAATATCATACAAATAAGAATTGCTTCTTTCTGTCATTATCTTCACATATTAGTGAAACTACAAAGTATTGGTTTAATTGGGACTTTTCGAACATATTTTGCATTTCACCGGATCACCGCGCCAAACTTTTTAATTTTTGGCATAGCTCACATCCGATACCTACCACATTTTTTATTGTAAAATTCCCCTTTTTCTAATAGAAAAATATACGTATTAGAAATTCAAAAATGATTGTTAAAGGTGTATGCCTGGAGCATGGTGTTGTACGGGTGCAAAACATGGAAGATGGGTGAGTCGAAAAAGAACAGGTTACAAGCTTTTTCTAAATGTGGTGTTACAGGCGAATGATGAGGATACCGTGAATAGAGAAGGTTGGAAATGAGGAGGTATTAGAAAGAATAGGAGAACAGAGGACTCTGTGAAAGTGAATAAGAAATAATTTTTAGGACACCTTCTCAGGCATGAAGGGCTAGTTAGAGACATATTAGAAGAAAAACAGAAGTTAAGAGTGGTAGAGGTTGACCTAGATTATATTACTCTTCACAGCTAGTTAGTTAAGGATTACATGAGGATAGGAAAGAGTGGAGGTGCATGTTCTGCTAGTCCATTGTAGTTTTTCCTTATCAACGATTATCTGGCTCATCCCCGTCTAAATCTTAACAAATCTTCCCTTTGTTGCCATATGTAGATATATACAGATTTAGCTACTCGACGATAGGTAGGCGCAAGTCTCTATAGACTGCTACCGATACAAAACCACATAGCTACATGTAAATTTCTACAAGCCACAACATACTACATGGTATATTGGTATGAGAAGCTGTTTAAAACGAAAAACGCGAATAACGAAAATGATTAAACATTGTTTGTAATTTTTGAATGTAAATTATAATACGTATGCGGCATGTAACATTTTTAATTTTTCATCACGTGTTATTGATAGCAATAATGATTAATCTAAGTATTATTTATGAATTTTGTGCTCTAATGAACCAAAAAAGGAGGCAAATTTGCTAAATTTAAAAGAAGCAACTTTTATCATATGATTATTGATACACCTTCTTTATAGTTCTAAAACGTGTCGGTTACTTAGTATCTCCTCCGTTCTGTTTAGTGTAATCGTCAAGAACTGCTCTCCATTGATAAACCATATCGAATGTTTCCGGTAGATCCTGAATTCCCCTACGTTGCTCATCAACGTTGTAGTCTCCCTGACTCCCTGGTGGTGGAAAATTTTCGAATATGTAGGGAGTTGCGTCAACTCTGAAACCATCTACCCCCTTATCTAACCAAAAGATCAGTACGTCCTATTGAAAAAACGATACATTTTATATAGTTGATTGAATAAAGAAAGAAGTTACAGTTATAGCTTACTTTCATTTCTTGAACAACCCTAGGGCTTCTGAAGTTTAACTCAGGTTGTTGGGCAGTAAACAGATGGTAATAATATTGATCCCTCTCGGGCACATAATCCCAGGCAGAACCTCCGACAAAACCCCTCTTCATGAAAATAAGAATTTAATGATTAGCTACAAAACGAAAATATTTACAGCTTATACATACTATACATTAAATTCTTCTCTTGAAAATAAAAACAATATCAAGAAGAAGATGCGAGATGAGATATGAGGCAATGTATGGTATTTATAAAAAGAAGCGAACGGTTAATTTAGAAATTCGAAAAAGGTTGTTAAAGGTGTATGTTTGGAGAACGGCGTTGTACGGGTGCGAAACATGGACAGTGGGCGCGGAGGAAAAGAAAAGGTTAGATGCGTTCGAAATGTGGTGTTATAGGCGGATGATGAGGATAGCGTGGGTAGAAAAGGTTAGAAATGAAGTGGTATTGGAAAGAATAGAACAGAAGACTCTATGGAAGTCAACAAAAAATAGGCGAGATAGGTTGGTAGGACACCTTGTCAGGCATGAAGGTCTCGTCAGAGACATAGTAGAGGCAGAAACAGGAGTTAGGAAGGGTAGACGTAGACCTAGATTAGATAACTGTTCGCAAATAGTTAAGGATGTGGGCTGTTCTAGTTTTAGGGAAATGCGAAGTTTAGCTCAGGATAGGAAAGAGTGAAGGTGCATGTCCAACCAGTCTTAGGACTGACGACCTTATGATGATGATGATGATGATGATGATGATAAAAAGAAGCATCTGCTCAAAAAATAAAGGATTTGTTTCTCGAAAAACAGTTTTTCTCGCTCTTTTCAAATTTGCAGTTGCTACCCAGGCATCACACAGCTTGTAACTTAAAAAGTTATGTATTTGTAGGACTGTTTTGTGTTAAAATCTATTTGTATAGGTGATCTTTAGTTGTGTGGTCCCAGTGTTGTGCTTGTTATGGCTTATATGGTGCATTTATGTACAAGAAAATACTACAAACAAAGACGTACACCACGAGAATCAGATTTTAAAGCGTTATTTAGATTTGAGTAGGAAGATGTCGTGTGGTTGACGGACCACTTCCTTGGCGCCTATCCCGAAACACGTGGAACAGCCGTGTCACCTGTGCAGAAAATGAAAATATTTCTGGGTTATTTTGCGAACCGCTTTAAATTTGCTAACTTTCAACACTGCACAAGTAAATCAGGAATATATTAAACAAATTTTAACTAGTTTGTCGAAATCGGTAGCGGCTAATTTGTACCTTTTACTTTATTAATCCGAAGCATTTCCTTACAAGGAAAAGATATAGATTATATATACGAATTGTAGCAAAAGATTTTACTTCTACCTTTTACTTGAAATTAAATTATTTATTTTTATAAATACAGCCTAATATCTAGATCTAGATGAACAAATCGGGAAGGTTATCCTGTCAAGATCGCTTGCTAAGAATTTGTACTACCTATGTCTATCTCGGATTGTAAAAGCAGGGCAGTATTTATCATTTATGTATACCTTACAAAAAAAGTATTTTACTCATTTTTATGCTTTTCGGATAGATATAACCACCATGAAATAACACTTTTTTCAAGGTTAATGAATTTCGAAATGGCGTATAAATTCTGATCCTTCAAAGACTTATCATCTTAAAAAAAACTAAAACCTCTTTATTCGTTTATTAAGATTTATTTCAATAATGACAATTTCTATTCGTAATCTTTTTATTATCATTTATGCAGAATGTAATTAATCACTTCT